CATGTGCGCCACTCTCCACGCGCACACCTCCTCCCGGGCAATCCCCACGAATCCCCAAGGCGAGGCGCTCCCGTGCACAACAGAGAGCCGGAGACAAAGGGTTAAATATCCGCTTCCTCTCAGGAGATAAGCGAGAGGACTCAGACGTTAGACATTTTGTTCTGCGTGTTGGTGCTGCCTGTGGAGGGTATCCTTCCCGCCCGACGAGGTTGTGGTGCTGGCGGTGAGGGGCGTGGGCGTCTTGGGCGTGGGGGCGCCGCACATTCCGACCGCCCAAACCCACGCCGCCCACAAGCGCTCGCCCACGCGCCGCCGGTAACTGTGGTTGAAGTACATGAAGACAATTGGATCGACGACGAAGTGTGTGGAGAAGAGGACGTGGAAGATGATGCCGTAGGACTGAGGCGGACGAGGCAGCATGTGGTAGACGGAGTGAGGGACGCCGAAGAGGAGGTTGGAGGCGAACACGGCGATCATGCCGCGGGTGGCGTTGTTGACGATGCGGGAGTGGCTGGACTGCACCTTGGCCATGCGCCGCCCGTTGCGCCGCATCTTTGGGAGGGGGGGCGGAAATGCCGCATGCGTCAGTATACATATATATGTGTGTGTGTGTATATATATATATATATATATATATATATATATATATATATATATATATATATATATGTATATATATATATTATATATATATATATATATATATATATATATATATATATATATATATTATAATATATATATATTATATATATATATACATATATATGAATATATATATTGATATTTTTATTTATCTATCTATCTATCTATCTATCTATCTATCTATCTATCTATCTATCTATCTATATATATATATATATATATATATATATATATATATATCATACACCACCCACACACACATACATACTTATATATATTATATATATATATATATATATATATATAATATATATATATATATTATATGTGTGTGTGTGTGTGTGTGTGTGTGTGTGTGTGTGTGTGTGTGTGTGTGTGTGTGTGTGTGTGTGTGTAAATAGATACATGCATACCTACGTGAATAGATACATACATACATACGCCTATACACACAGACACTCATACACTCATACACATATAGACAGACAGAAAAAATATCTAACTAGATATAAGTAAATATAGACATCAATACAGATATAAACAGCCTCCTTTCTACCACAAGCTCGCCACAGGCCGTTCTCCCGAGCCGAGACCTCCCTTACCGCGATGATCATAGCCACGTAGCAGGACATGGTCGTGGCGATGGGCACGAGGGTGTTCAGGAAGAAGTAGACGCCGTTGATCACGTCTTCCGTCGCTGGGTCTTTGAAGTAACCGACCATCAGGGCTCCGAGGAGAAACTGAAGGGGAAAAGAGGCGTTGTGAGTGGGTTCGAAAGGGATGTTTGACTTTTTGGGGGTAAGGGGTAATATTGTGTGTGTGAGGGTGTGTGTGTGTGTGTGTGTGTTTCTCTGTATGTGTGTGTGTTTGTGTGTATGTGTTACAACTTCCATATTAGGTAGAGTGCGTGCTTCCGGCAATAATACACTACGCAATAAAAGAAAGAAAGAAAAGAAACAGGCTAATAAATGCACATGTAAACCAAAAACTAATCAAACCCCAATATCTAACATCGACCTCCACCCGTAACAAATCCGATGTAGCCAGAATCTCATTTAAACAATCAATCATAACATACCCCGTGTTAACCCTTTACCCAGTACTCGGTCAATGGGCTTTTCCCGGCACGCCGCTCCCTCTGATATCCTGCGTAAGGGGTTTTCCCGCTGGACACCGCGTCAAATCAGGGGAGTGTTATTGTCCTTATTGTTTTTTTTTTCTTTTTTTTTTTTTTTTTTTTTTGCTTGTTTTTTTCTTTTTTTTTTCCTTTGGTTTCTTCTTCTTTTGATTCAATTTGCGCTTCTCTTTGTCTTGTTTTATTTTTTTGTTTATTTTTATTTTCATCGTCCTGTCCTCCTCTACCTTATCTTTATAATCATTCTCGTGCTTCCTTTTCATTGATTTCTTCTGTTTTGTTTCGTCGTATGCTTAACACTATTTTCCTCTCCTCTTTATCATCATTCTCATGCCCCGTTTTCTTCGTCATATTCTGAAAAAAATCCTCTTCTTTATTATCTCTCTCATGCCTCGTTTTCCTTTTCCTTCTTCCGTTTTTCTTCTTCATTTTTTTCCTCTTCTTTATCATCTCTCTCATGGTTCGTTTTTTTCCTTCTTCCGTTGTTCTTCGTCATTTTCTGAACATATTTTTCCTCTTCTTTATCGTCATTCTTATGTCTCGTTTTTTATTCCCTTCTTCCATTTTTCTTCGTCATGTTCTGAATATTCTCCTCTCCTTTATCATCTTTCCCATGCCTCATTTTTCTTTTCCTTCTTCTGTTGTTCTTCGTCATATTCTCAACATCATTTTCCTCGCCTTTGTCATCCTTCTCATGCCTTGTTTTTCTTTTCCTCCAGT